ATCAGTTTATATATTCATCATCATCTTGAAACATAGTAATAGGCTATATATGGATAATTGAGCGCCTTATTACCTTTGCCAAAATATTCTCTCCCTCTACTTGTAGCATATTCCCTCTTCGTCATGGTCCTTCTGGTTTTCCTGTTTGTTTATTTACATAAATCATATCATGTTTGTTTAAGGGGTAATTGCTAAAAGGATCACAAAATCTCATTACATCACTTGACCATATGATTTGCTAATTAATGCGTTAATCAATAGTCGGCTTTTAATATTGTTGTAATAACCACATATATTTACTTCATATAAACAACTAATTATGTGGTCAGAATGCGATGCTTTTAGCATTTTCCTCCACTAAATGATGAAATGATCAGTTTATATATTCATCCTCATCTTGAAACATAGTAATAGGCTATATATGGATAATTGAGCGCCTTGTTACCTTTGCCAAAATATTCTCTCCCTCTACTTGTAGCATATTCCCTCTTCGTCATGGTCTCTCGACACATATGAGTGTGTGATTTTGGTTGTATCTAGAGCTGGTAAATTTGGAGAGAGAGAGAGAGGCATTGGTTTTATTGTTTGTGAATCCCAATCAGTATAACGTGTCGCAATTTATGCCCATATAATATCGCGTAAGCTCATAAGCTTTTGGGAATATAAATATTATTATGAAAGAAATGATCAAGCATTTAAGAAAAGGATTGTTCAACAAGATCATCAAATCCAAAGAAACATATGATCTTACAAAGATAATTCACAATACACCAAAAACAATCACATAAAAGATCATCTTCTTCCCCTAGAATCCTCCTCAACATTAAGAAAATAATCATCCAAATGTTGATCTTTACGAAGATCATTCACCAATTTCTACTCAATTAGTGCTACAACACAGCCCAATATATAGCTTGAATCTTTTCCGAAAATGGCCCCCAATTTCGTGGGTTGCTGGATTATGTGGAGAATTTGGGGGTTAGGGCTAGAGGCATTTTTCAGAGGTGATATGCTCATGATTTAAGGCGTGTTTCAGAGTGGGTTATGTGACTTTGGTAGGTTTTTGATGATATGGGACTGAAACGAAAACTTTAAAAGAAAAAAATAAAATACAAACTGAGGAGCACATTTCGCGAATGATCAATGAGACATCACTAAAAGACTAATATAGCGTTTCTCAAATTTGAGCATTTCGCTAATATGGCGTACGCTATTTGTGCACTTTGCAAATGATCAGCGCGATAGCATAGCTCGCGCTATGCAAACGCTATTCAAAACACTGGTTAAAATATATCCATGCCAATCCAGAAAAGCAACAAAATGCAATCTAATTAATATATTGCATCTAAACACTTGTAATATTTGGTAGTTGGGACTGCCAAAGGCACTGTATACACCTTTTTGGTAGGCTGTGAACTCAAAAATAAATGAGTTCATTTTTTTTAGTTCATTGAACTCAAAAAGCTAGGAAAAGTAGTTTGAGTTGGATTATTTAGCGTTATATAATATATATAATTACGGACTTCGAGAGTACGAGAAATTCTCTGAAGCGTTGAAATCCTGCAGCAAGTTTCAGATACCAAGTCACATGCGAAAGGCTAAAATTAGCATCCGCCAACTTTTGAGTGTTTTTCTTCGCATGCCTCTATCTCGAGCTTAACTAATTGTAAATTGTAATTAAACAACTCTTAAACTCTTTATTAGAGCATTTTCAATTGATATGTCAAATTGCTACATAGACAAGAAATGACAAAAATTGAGGGTTAAAGTTGCTCTAACTGAGTAGTCAAATCTTACATAAATTTGAAAGCTGGAAGAGATATGTCAAAAATAACATATCAAAAAACTTGATGTCAAATATTATTTTAAAGTTTTTTTAGTTATGGACTTCATTATCATTTATTCTCTTTTAAAACTTTATACATTATATGGGTCCCATTTATTTTTAAAAATATAATAAAATAATATGACATTTGACATTTCGGTTTGAATTAGTAACATACAATACAGAGTGGGCTTTATGAGGGTGTCCTTCAATGAAAGCTCTCTAATTGTATATATTTTTAAACTTTTTCTTTTAGGTGGGTAATTATATATACTATAATTAGGATGTGGTGTGGCTAAGGCCACGTTAATCATTATGGTTTGGTGACCTGTCTCTAAACACAAATTCCCATTGGCTAAACCCCACGTGAATTTGATTTGTTAGACCAATAAGATTCGATCTTGCTGTAAATCCTATTGGGGCCCTGGGATTTAGGAACCCCAAATCGAAGATTAGGTTAATTTAAGCACAACTTTATGACATCAACTAGCAGCTTAGCCAGGTGTCAATCATCAACAAATGATATAGGTTCATAGACCAAGAGAAAAAAAGGCAATTTTGTGGACATTTGGCACTAGTCTACCATCCCAACAAAGGAAAATGTTGCTTTACCGAGTCATCACACCATTCAATACTCAATATATGACTGCTTTTCAGTCTTGCGATGTTTACAGTAAACATAAACTAATAAGAGAAGCACATGAACTTTATCATAACTTTCAATTTTCTCCGCCCAATGAAAGTCAGATGTGGCTCCTTTTTTTCGGAGGAGAGGTATGTCCCTTTCGATTCTCCAAAGCCCACTTGCTCGGTGGATTGAAAACACTAATTCTTTTTCACTTCAGGTAATTTCTGACAGGAGACCTTCAAGACTCGAGAAGAGTGTGGAAGTTTTACACTGGAACTGGAACTGGAAATGGAAATATATTAGGGTGGAAACTCGAAGGGGGTGAATTATTTTGTGCTTTTGTTCTTTCCCTGTTGGTCCTTGACACTTTAACCTAGCTCTTTATTAGATCATGTCTTTCTTCGTTTTCTTAGTGGTCATGTTTGGTGATGGAGATTTAGATTAGATTGAATTATGGGGTAGAATTGGATCGCATTGGATTAAATTGGATTGGAGACAATAACATTAATCCGATAATGTGTTTCGTACTACATATGATTAAAATGGGTGAATGAACTGAAATATGCTATTACATGACCTAGTAGAATCCAATTCAAGTTGTTTTTAAGTAACTAAACATTTAACTAAGATTATGAATCTTGTCAAGCTAACCAAACATGCAATATTATCAGTAAGTATCTTATCAAAATGTGTGATGCTAAAATACCAACTACCTTGCCAAACGAGTCCATAGCTCAGTGGTAAAAACATTTGACTGTAATTCAATTGTCTCAAGTTCAAACACAAATGACACATTTCTCCTCCCCCACCCCCCGGCTTAACTTGCAATGAATCTTGGGCCTAGTGTAATGAACCAAGTTGGGCTTAAGCCTTAAGGTAAATTTCTCCCCACACTTGCATTGATTTCGTCTTGTTCTTCAGCTGGGTTTGCTTTACTTTCCACGTTTGAAGACATGGTAGATTTTAACTTCCAAATGAGATGGTTAGTACTTTTGTTACCAGAGGTTTCAATTTCTTTTGAATTTCTTTTCCCTCGCTGGTCGCCTTTTGTCCTAGTAGGAAAGAAACCTGTTCCATACTATGGATATGGAACTGGTCAAAGTCTCAAGGTCTAGGATGTCTACGTTCATGTTATTAATTTTGTTGACTAAAATGACGGGGAATCAATGTGCCAACATCATTTAAAATTTTTAGCTTGTCTCTATTTGATCATGAAATTATAATTTGCTTAGGTGAACATCTGATTTCATGGTGGCTAAATCTAGATGAGAAATAGAGGCATGAATATTTTGGGCATTTACTTGCACCTTAAGAAACATATCAATGGATAAACCGAGTTGTTAGGACAAAATAATAGAGACTATTTTGTTCAGTGGGGCTGATAAACCCCAATTGCCCTCCCTCCGTCGGCCAATGATTGCCTGGCCTTGAAATCAGAATGAAAATTTTCATCCAGCGTGCAATTAGGCTGAGTAAAAAAGAAGTGGAATGTTGAGAATTTCCAGGTACCGAAGCAACTCTCTAGCAGTCGAGTTCTTTGCTAATCACAATTAAGTCTCTTGGGATTAATTCAAAACAAGTTGTTAATTTCTTGATCATGGTTTTAGTGTAACCACTATGTAGAAGAGTTTCTGCATTTTCTAATTTATATGGTTCCACAGGATTTGTCTATAAGCCCTAGCAGATTGGCAGAAAAAAAGGCGGTCTCGCCGCTATTACGATAGAATTAATGCAAAACACATATCTCTGAAACTACTCAAGGATGTAAAACTATTCAAGGTCAACTCTAAGCAGATTCTAAGGTAATCTTCGAAAACATCTTTTTTCTTATTGGCTTGTTGTCAATCCTTCTCATTTAAACACTTTCCAAGAACCCTGTTGGTGGAAGTGGCTATCATTGGCAATCTTGTGGTGATTATAGTAATGAACCATGAACCAAGTTGATATATAAATATATGTCACATAAATATTAGATAGTGAGACTGTAGAAAAGATGCAGATAATTAATATGCCAATGAATTTGCATAAAGTCTTTTTCTGTATTTATGAGATTCTGATTCAACACATTTGTATCATTATAAGACCCTATCAGTCTTGAGATATAAAGTCAAGTCTCTCAAACTTGTCACAACTCTCTCTCTCTCTCTCTCTGTCAACCCACCCTCACCAATGGTGACCTCTTTCTACAGATTACCAGTGCTGCCACTCTTCTTTTTCTCTCATTTTCTTCCCTTTGCTTGTTCACTTTCTTTTGATATATCTACCTTTGTTCCTAATACAGCCAACATATACTATCATGGTGATGCAATGGCTTTAGATGATGTTGTCGAGTTTAACAAAGTGAATTATTTATGGCGTGTCGGATGGGTCACGTATGGTGAAAGGGTGCTTCTATGGGACAATGAAACAGGAAAGCTCACTGATTTCGACACCCATTTCTCCTTCACCATCCCCGTTTCTCATTGCTAAATGAATAAAATATCAACAACTTGTCTCTTAAGAGAGAGTGGGGTGAAGGTGGGTTCTTTCTTATCTACAAGTTCATATGAAATGACCTCGATTCTCATTTATTTCACAATAAGATTCGTCTCAATTGGGCAATGAAGCAAACAAACAGAGAAAACAAAAGCCGAAAAGGCCAGGAACAAACAAAGCCCCACAAACACATGGAAGATTAGACTAGAACCAGTACAGTCTAGTATAATAATCTTCCCCATCACAAATTCAAAACAAAATACAACATAAAGCCACTGTTACCGCATAGGGGACGAGAACCGCACCATCATGGCCACAAAGGGGATACACACCCACCACACAGGTCAACACTGTTGTACATAGAGACCCACCGATCTTCAGCTAAGAAGAGAAATTCCCTAAAAGGCATAAACACATCAGCACTAAAACATTCCTCCATAGATCGCCTTCTCCATCACACTCGAATCCGACATTGCACCTAAGAGAAAACAAGAACCAATCACAACACCAAGGTACATACCAAAATATAGACACCACGAGATTGGAGAGTATTGGTGCAAGCACGAGAGCAAGAATCGTAGCAAAAGCTCTAAATACACTCCGATAATAGCATGGCAAAGCGCTTATAGATATAATTGTTGTATTCCAATGGAGAGTCCATATTCGAACAGAAGAGCTTGAGAGACAAACTTTTAGTCAAAAGAGAAAAGTTGTATTGGGACAACAACCGACAACATGGGTAAAACAACAGTAGCTCATTGAGCCAATAAACTCATTGAGCCAATAAACGACAGCATGCTCTTACAAAAGTAGCTTTGGATTCCTGATTGGTTTAACTTTCAACAAGAGCAGGCAAAAAGAGAAGGAGATGTTGGGGTAGATTGGCGAAAAACAGGGGACACAACGGCTTGAGACATTTAATCTCAATACATAGCACAAGGCTCAAGCAATCACTACAGTAGGGAAAAGCACCCAACTCTCAGAGAGAGCCACGAGCATAGCCAAACAGGCTCAAACCGAAAAAACACCAGAAAAACTGAGAATCACTCTGCAAAAACATAGCAAAACCCCCCAAGAGGTGGAAGAGAAAGGAAATGGTCGGAAAAGGGGGATGAGGGAGAAAACAAGAAAAAGGGAGAGTAGGAAAGAAAGAGAAAAAGACTCGAAAAAAGTGGAGGGAGAGAACAGAAAAAGGGAAAGAGGGAGGAGAGGTCGAGAACGAGGGAGGAAGGGGGAGAGGGAACTAGAAAAGAAAGAAAAGAGGAAGAGGAGGAAGGAAAAAACCACAAAAATAGAAGATAAAGAGGGAGGAAGGAGGAGAGGGAAAGAGGGGGTGAAAGGAGGGGAGGGGAGGAGGGTCAGTGACCACTTCCTCCCCTAGCGCGCGGCACAAGAAGAGAGGGGGGCTAGGGTTGGGAGAAAAAACACTCAAAGCTGAGAGAGAGGTTTGCTATATCTTCATGTGAGATGCACAAGGAGACCTCGGTGCAATTAAGAGTGGAAAACCAATCATACTACCTATTGATTATTAGTATCTTCTTATATTAGTAAATTAATATGGACTAGGATTTATTATTAGTCTCTTTTTTTGTGGTTTTATTATACCGTTGCTGTACCTCTCTTGATTAGTAGTGTATTTGAACACCAGGTGCTGAATATGCTGATATGGCTGTGTGATAATATTTTTTCACATAATAACTTAACTGTGGCAAGGGCTTATAGCTCAAGTGGTTAATGTTAAATTTTAGAGAGATGGGCCAGCGGTCCACTACTAGCAACACCGATATTATCTCCAACTTAACCATCTACAAAGCCCAGTAGGTGTGGGGTTTTATCACAAAAGGCCTCGGTGATATTAGTAGGGGAACCATTCATTATATCTTGTATTTTATTTAGTCAAGTTTCCAATGTGGGACTTATATTCTTCAACACGTCCCTTCACGTGGGACCACCACATAGTAGGCCACACGTGGAACACTACTAGCAACACCGATATTGTCCCAAACTTAACCACCTAAAGAAGCCTATAATAGGTGTGGGGTTTTATCACAAAAGGCCTTGGTGATATTAGTAGTGGAACCATTCATTATATCTTGTATTTTATTTAACAGTTAAGAACATTTACCTCTACACCCTTCTATTCCTCCCCCCCCCAAAATATCGCTTGGGCTAAATAATTGGATGAGGCCTAGCTAACGTAACCTAGCCGTCAAGTGATGTCATCTAGTTTTTTTTATTAATAAAAAAAAATCAAAAAATGTTTTTGTTTTTATTAAAAAGAATTTCTAAAAAATTTCTAAATTTTTTGTATAAATTCCTACCTCTTCTTACATAATTTATCATAACATCTTCATCATTTTACATATTATCCTTCCTCAATTTCATCATTTTACATAATTTCTCACAATCTCTTCATTCTTTTACAAACTATCCTTCATCTTTTTCCATTTAAATTAATTTTTAAGTTGTTTTGAGAACAAGAAAAAATATAATCATAAATCTATAGGGCTAATCAAGTATTGACATGTGGATGTCAAAAATCCTATCCCAAAATATTTTTCTCTTCTAAAATGTATTTTAAATAGGATATAAATAGTAGTTTAATTAAATTAACTAATAAATTTACATAATATACTAAAAACTATTAAAATCTTAAATTTAGCCCTTTGCTCCTGGAAACGGTTAAAATGTAACCTCATAATACCTTATAAAATTATTTGTTAGAAGGCTAAATGTATACCGCTAAATATAGCCCTCCCCACCTTAAGGTGGCCTTAGGGTTGTTAGTCTTATTAATAGTCAATAAACTTTGAGGTTTTCTCTCATATTTCCTGTATAGGAGCTGTGCGATGGCAGAGACAATGTGAACACAGCCATGTTTCAAGTGAAGTACGTATATTAATGTTCCATTCTTTGTTTAGTAGCCAACAGTTGCCTCTCTTTTTCAGGTGCCTTCCTGTTCCTGTCGAAGGTCAACTCCATGGCTGATTATTATTAAGAGATAATATGCTTTAAACATACTTTCTTGCAGAGACCCCATTATTTAACCTTCACTCACATCACGACTGTCCATCTTAACTAACACATCGTTGAATTTCATTAATTAACTTCAACAAGGATATATATATATATTGCGCACAGAATGATGGTTGTCGTAATGCAGTTGTAGTATACGTATGAACCCTAGTATGGAAAAGATGAGATATTAAATATTAATCAATCATTCAAGAGATGAGTACCATAATTCTGAATTGTATATGCATTTTAAGAGTTGACAATTTACACTAAAGCTGCAGCAAATTTTTCTCTAGAAATTGTTGCCTCACAATCATGTAAGCTTCCAAGCAATTGGTCTCCAACTTCTCTTCCTCTGTCTCTTTGTCTCTGTTTACTTCTCTGTCTCTTTTCTCTGTTTCCTTCTTTGTCTCAGTCTATTCTCCAGGCCATGGCCATCTCTTTCAACAACCTATCATCTCTACCTATCAATACCTTCATTTTCCTTTTGCTTCTTCCTTATGCTTGTTCGATTAATTTCCAAATAAACCGCTTCGAATCGAGTGCAGACAACATAGTCTATCAGGGAGATGCAGTGGCTTCTGTTGGCGCAGTTGAACTGATTAGTAGGCGTACTTACGTATGCCGTGTTGGCTGGGCCACTTATGCTAAGAGAGTGCCTATCTGGGACTCTGATACTGGGAAGCTCACAGACTTCAGCACACATTTCTCATTCATCATTGACACAACAGGTGAAAACCCTTACGGCCATGGGATTGCGTTCTTTCTTGCTCCTGTTGGATTTCAAATCCCACCAAACTCAGCTGGTGGCTTTCTAGGCCTATTCAACACCACAACCAGTGACTTTTCTGGAAACCAGATTGTTCTTGTTGAGTTTGATACATACGTAAACCCTGAATGGGATCCCGAATATGAGCATGTCGGGATTAACAACAACTCAATTGCTTCTGCTGTGACCACCCGTTGGAATGCTAGCGTACATAGCGGAGACACTACTGATGTATGGATTGCCTACCTAAAAATTTAAGTGTTCATTGGAGCTACCAAACTACTTCGAATCCTAACGAAAGCACTAGTCTCTATTACCAGATTGATCTGAAGGAAATTCTGCCTGAGTGGGTCACAATTGGATTTTCAGCAGGTACTAGTCAACATGGGGAGCGGAATATGATTGTATCGTGGGAATTCAATTCAACTTTGGAAAGAAAAGAAACTAGTGGAAACAATGCAAAGAAGAAAATAGTAGTAGTGGGTTTAACAGTTTCTGGCGGTGTTCTGATAGCTGGGGTGTTTATAGCATTAATTGTGAGGACTTGGAGGTGGAAGCAAAAGCAAAGGGAAACACCAGAGACAGTAAACTTAACATCAATCAACGAAGACCTTGAAAGAGGAGCAGGACCAAGAAGGTTCTCTTATAGCGATCTTGTTACAGCCACCAACAATTTCTCTAATGAGAGGAAGTTGGGCGAAGGAGGATTCGGGGCTGTATACAAAGGCTACCTAACCGATTTAGACATAGCAGTTGCGGTGAAGAAAATTTCAAGCGGGTCTAGGCAGGGAAGAAAGGAGTACATAACAGAGGTGAAGGTTATTAGCAGCTTGAGACACCGAAATCTAGTGCAACTCATAGGATGGTGCCATGACGGAGGTCAGTTCCTTCTTGTCTATGAGTTCATGCCAAATGGTAGCCTTGACATTCACCTCTTTGGGAAGATGTCTGCTTTACTATCTTGGGCTGTGAGATACAAGATATCTCTGGGGTTGGCCTCTGCATTGCTTTATCTTCATGAAGGGTGGGAGCAATGTGTGGTGCACAGGGATGTAAAATCAAGCAATGTCATGCTAGATTCTAACTTCAACGTCAAGCTTGGTGACTTCGGGTTAGCGCGACTAATGGACCATGAGCTTGGCCCTCAAACAACTGGATTGGTTGGAACAATTGGTTACTTGGCTCCAGAGTATATTAGCACAGGTAGAGCTAGTAAAGAGTCTGATGTTTATAGCTTTGGTGTGGTCACCTTAGAAATCGCTACTGGAAAAAGGTCAATGGATCGTATGGGAAAGGATTTCGAAATGGGGCTGATAGAGTGGGTTTGGGACCTTTATGGAAAAGGAAAGCTTCTCTTAGCAATGGATGAGAGGCTGCATTTGGAAGAAGAGAAACAAGTAGAGTGTTTAATGATTGTGGGACTGTGGTGTGCTCACCCTGATAAAAGTTTAAGGCCGTCGATAAGGCAAGCAAATCAAGTTCTGAACTTTGAGGCAGCATTGCCAAATCTTCCCTCAAAGATGCCTGTTCCAGTGTATGATGTACCTACACCATCATTCAGGTCCGGTGATCCATTAATAACCACAAGCACTCAAGAAGGTCGTTGAGCTCTACACACAATCTCAGTTTGTAACTTTGTATATAAAGTCATTCTTAGTGCTTTCCATGACATGACTGGTTGCATCTATAAATAGCTTGGAAATTACTCAAAAAGTAGTTCATTTTTCTTTCCTTGTATGATGATCTATTCTATTGCAAAGAAATAAGGGAAACTATGTGGCATGAAAGTTTATCTGCACAAAATGCAAACAAACTCATATTATGCAGCAATAAAGTTTCATTTCACCCCCACTATTCTACCAGAAAATGCAGACGTCCCTTTTTTCTATATGTTCTTTTCACTATTAATTTTCATTGAAAATCAACTCTTGCCTTCTAAGTCCGTTACCATTGATGTCCAATAGCTTTGATAATAATGGCTGGATCTACTACTACCTAATCTAAAACGTAAACTGAACTTAACTTAAGACGAAGGAACCTAGTGCTGAATCAGACACATTTTCCAACAAGAACACATCGATCTCGCTCTCAACATTGATAACAAAGTTGCTTTGTAGAGCCCCTCATGGGAAACGTGTTCAAGAAGACTATCTTGTGGTTCTTTTTATTTCCAAAAGCTATGCATCAATTAGTAGTATCGACAGATTTTTTCTTTCCTTAGTGGATATGATGCAGGACGCATATGACCTAAATTTATTAGTTTCCTAATGTATTTGTTAGTTTCCTAGATTCTCTAGTTTTCCTAATTCTAGTAGGATTTCTACTTTTCCAGATTTCCAGATTTCTAGTTTTAAGTTTCCTATTTTATTTGGGTTAGGATTTCTGTTTAAGCAAGGGATTTTTATCCTATTATGTCTAGGTTTTAGTTTTCTATAAATAACCCCATGTAGTTCTTTAAAATTCAGATTTGGATATTGAGTAAACCTTCTCTTAAAACTATGTGATTTCTGTTCTTCCTCACTTTAAACTGTCTGATTTCTTCCCTTTCCCTTCGTCTCTTCGATCTCTAATTCTTCTCCTCGATCCCTTATTTCTTCTCTGTTCTAATACTCAAGTATTTACTCTAAATCTACGGGCTGTTCTACATCAGGATACAAATGGATTCAATCTCTACAATTTGGGGAAAGAATAAACTCCTTCCTAATAAGAGTTTCATCACCAAATTATAAGCAATTGTTGGCCTGACAAATTCATAATGTAAGTTACCAAGAATTTGGCCTTCAATTAACTGCTCTGCTCTCCATCTCTATCTCCTTCACATGGCCATACCCCCTCTACCTATCAGCATCCTCTTTTTCCTCTTTGTTCTTCCTTTATCTCATTCAATTTATTTCCAAATTCCCCATTTCGATCCAAATGACACCACCATACTCTACCAGGGAGATGTAGTACCTTCTGCTGGAAAAATTGAATTGGTCAACAAAACCGATTATTGATGCAGAGTTGGATGGGCCACCTACGCTGAGAGAGTGCCACTCTGGGACTATAATACTGGGAAGCTCACTGACTTCACAACCCATTTCAAGTTCATTGTTGACACAAAAGGTGTTCCCTATGCATCTTATGGCAATGGACTTGCATTCTGTCTTGCTCCTGTTTGGAATCCAAATCCCACCAAACTCAGCTGGTGGCTTTCTAGGCCTATTCAACACCACAACTATGGCCTTCTTCGGGAACCAAATTGTTCTAGTTGAGTTCGACTCCTATGCAAACCCCGAATGGGATCCTAGATATGAGCATGTGGGGATTAATAACAACTCAATTGCTTCTGCTGTGAGCACCTCTTGGAATGCTAGCTTCCATAGTGGAGACATTGCTGATGTATGGATTGCCTACAATGTTGAAAATAAGGAAACAGGGTGAAGAACCAAGAACGTATTTGTGGAATTCAAACTTCTCTTCTTATTAAACTTGAATACTGAATACAACTTAAATAGCAAAATAACAAAGCAACTAAGCTAAATAATAGGAACAACTAATGCACGACTAAACCATGACATTCAGCCACTAACCATGACTCCAAGACAACTTCGACTCTCCTATTACCTAGCAACTAAACAACCAACTCACTAAAGAATAGGACTTCTGCAACTTAACAAGATAAACATAAACATAATAAATAGAACAATAAATATTCTTAACACCCTCCCTTAAACTGAGTGTTCGACAGACAATCAATTTAAAGGTAAAACTTCAATTCTTCAAACATCAAGGGCAACAAGCAACATCCTTCAAAGAACTAACTCCCAACAAATTTCTCAATTTCACGAACACAGGCAACTTGAGAGGCTTGGTAAAAATATCAGCAATTTGGTCCTCACTTTTACAAAAAATTAGATCAATAACATCATCCTTGCAGAGATCACGAAGAAAATGATATCTCACATCAATATGTTTGCTTATTCCATGCAAAACTGGATTTTTCGAAAGCTTAATAGCAGAAACATTATCACAATAGATTGACGTTGGACCTTGCTGCATGTGGTGAAGTGCTTCAATTTACCTTCTCAGCCAAATGGCTTGGCATGCACAGGATGCTGCTGCAACAAATTCAGCTTCGGTTGTTGATAAAGTTATAATCGGCTGCTTCTTAGATGACCAGGCAACTGCCCCTGACCAGGCAATTGCCCCTGAACCCATCATAAACATATATCCTAAAGTGCTCCTTCGATCATCTTGATCTCCTGCATAGTCACTGTCTGTAAAACCAAACCAACCAGACTTTGCTTCCTTCTTATAGAAAACACCTAAATCAACCGTACCTTTTAAATAGACAAAAATTCTTTTTTCTGCTGCAAGACGAAGCTCTGTAGGATTCTCCATAGAACGACTAATAAGACTCACATCATGCATAATATCCGCCCTGGTTGAAGTCAAATACATAAGGCTTTTCACAATTTGCTTATAAAGAGTGGGATCAACCTTTCTTCCATCCAAATTCTTCGCAAGCTTCAAATCAGACGATGTTGGAGTTCCAACTAGATTGCAATCCTTCATATGAAACCTGTCCAAGGCTAACATACTTCTTTTGTGAGATAAAAATTCCAGCAGGGGATTGATTCACTTCAATGCCCAAAAAATAATGCATTAACCCAAGGTTTGATATGTAAAACTCAATCATCATAGAATTTTTAAACTCACCAAACATAGCCTTATCACTCCCCATGTAGATCAAATCATCAACATATAAACATACAATAAGAAGTTTTCCATTTTTTTCAACTTTAATATAGAGAGTATGTTCATATGGACACTTGTGAAAGCCTTGGTTAGCAAAGTAAGTGTCTATGCGGCTGTACGAAGCTCTAGGTGCTCGTTTTAGCCCATAGAGTGCTTTGTTTAATCTATGTACCTTTTTCTCCTTTCTCTATTGCACATATCTAGGAGGTTGCTCAACATACACCTCTTCGTTCAACTCCCTATGTAAAAACATTGATTTTACATCCAATTGAAAAATTGGCCATGAGTTTTGAGCAGCCATGGAAAGAACAAGCCGGATTGTATCCATTCTTGCAACTGGTGCAAACATCTCCTTATAGTCAACACCAAACTCCTGCTTGTAGCCCTTTGCCACCAAACGAGCCTTGTGCTTATCTATCTTACCCTTCTCATTTAGCTTTCTTTTAAAAACTCATTTCACTTCAATATTTTTCTGTCGAATTGAAAGGTCTGTCAGCACCCATGTGTCATTTTTCTCAATGGCCCTAATTTCTGCATCCATGGATCTTTGCCACTTTGGTTCCTTCACAGCTTCTTGAAAACTTATTGGATTACAATATGAAAACAAGGCAAAATGTGCAATTGTGTCATCATCATCATCATCATTAGATTGATAAACACCATTGACCTCATAATCCAACATCCATGTTGGCTTCTTCCTCAAGCGTTGGGACCTTAAGCTAGATTCCTCCCCTTGCTGATTTTCGCTGGAAATAATTGATTGTTGTTGTTGCTGGTCTAGTTGTTGCAACTGCGTGTTTGACTGGTCATGTTGTACAACTGATGAGTCAACCTCTTTTCCTTCTTCTTCATCAAAAATTACAGGAATGAGTTGATGCTTTGAGGCTTTTTCAATCTAGTTCCACGTGTTCTCTGTTGGTGTGACTTGTGGACTATTGACTTACATTCCTTACACACTAAGAATTCCTATTATAATTGTAATTGATTTACTTTAATTCCTAATTTCCTACTGTAAATAGATTTAGGAGTTTATTATTTACTTGTCCATTTAGGTTTCGTTGTATTATAAATATGACCTCCTAAAAGGAGAAGAATACACAGAAAATTCCCGCAAACAAATATTCTCATATTAGGTTTCATATTTTAGCATGGTATTAGAGCGGTGATCTTGGAATTGCTGACTCTAGTTTCAAACCCCAGCTGCTGCTATGGGGGTTGATGATTTTTTCAACCCTCATGGAGGTAGCACCACCGACTCATTCTCTCCTTCTCAACCAACAATAGCCGAGTTAAGTGCCCAAGTGGCTCAGCTCCTATAGATGCAGCCTTTGACCCCGAACCCGATCCTTAATTAGGATCCTATTTTGACAACCCCGACCCCAACCCCTACTACGACTCCGACTCCGACTCCGACTCCGACCATGACTCCGTTGATGACCACGACCCTGACTCCGATGATGACCCCGACCTCGAATTTGTCTCTGATTCAGACCCAAATCCCGACTTTGACTCCGACTCCGACTCCGACTCCGACTCCGACTCCAGCCCCGACTTAGGCTCAGATCCTGATCCGGATTCCTACTGTAACCTAAGCATCTTTCGCTGCACAGATTATGACTTCCCGACTAACGACCCCGACACATGGACGAGATTGCTCATATTGTGGTGATCCGAGACACACTTGTGAGACTTGTTTTAAATTGCATGGCTACCTTGAATGGTGGGCTACTCTCAAAATTCGAACACAATGCGATACGACCAGTAATGGTGCTAGTTATAGATTCCATACTTCGGATAAGATTGATTCTAGTAGTTGGATAATTGATTCCGGTGCAATTGATCATATGATGTTTTATCCTGATGATTTTCTGAATACTACACAACCCCAAAGAACTTGTATTGCTAACGCCAATGGAGTTACTTATCCTGTGACAGGGGCTGACATTGTTCCAC